AAGAGTGTCCCACAAGTGCAAGCCCAAGTGTGCAAGTTAACAATGATCCCGAAACATCCATGGTCTTTGACAACCAGTACTACAGAAATCTTCTCACCAACAAGGGTCTTTTCCAATCTGATTCTGCCTTGCTAAGTGATAACAGAACAAGAAAATTAGTGGAAGACTTGGCAAATGATCAAGAGTTTTTCTTTGAAAGTTGGGGCCAGTCTTTCTTGAAGCTCACTAGTGTTGGCGTCAAAACTGGTGATGAGGGTGAAATTAGACGTTCTTGTGCATCAACTAATGCATAAAAAAGGGACTGCAACAAAGAAGGCTTTCTAAGTATAAAATAAATGCCAGCTACATAATTCTTATACAAAGTAAAAAGCACAAACTTTTGCAAACAACTTTATGTGTTGATCTATCGCTTTCTCAATTCTTTCTTGCCATATGATGTGTATTTCTTTTTTATTGGTGTAGCATAACAAATATTTATATTTTAGTGAAATAATGGCAATTGAATCTATCCTGCGTAGATATAGTTCCTTTTAGTATATACATAAAAACACTACGTTGTCGGTGTAGAATAGTTTTACAATATTAATAAATGCCTAATATATTATATAATTGAATCTATCCTGCGTAGATATAGTTCCTTTTAGTACATACATAAAAACACTACGTTGTCGGTGTAGAATAGTTTTACAATATTAATAAATGCGTAATATATTATAGACGTTTGTACGTTGTTTTTATTTATTTATAGTAATTGTATTAAAAATTATACCGATGATAATTTTTAATTAGTTGATCATGTAAATATTTTATAAATAATAATGCTTCAACTCTTAAAAAAAACTTAGTAGAGTGTTATGAATAATAATTAGTGGTTTAATTAGTGGATGCCGATATTCATTATCAATCATTATCATTTATATTTCTGTTATGTATTATTCCTTTTATTGTGTAATTGTTCAATTATCATATGTACTTATAAATAGGTTAGTCCTCTCTCAAAGATAATACACCGGTTAGATTCTTTTCTCTATCTCATATTGTTTTGTTTCTTCTCTCTACTTTTTCTCTCTTTTATAACACGTTATCAGCACGATAGTCTTTCCGCTATTGGTATTGCAACTGTAAGACAAAGCTATGAAGAATTTTCATGAAGAAAATCATATTTTTCAAAACAAATATTTCAAGGTTAGGTATTCATCTTCTACAATAAGAATTTTATCAAATATTTGTATTGTTTACATTGTTATGTATTAAAGTAGTCTTGAAGACACTATAGTAGTCTTGAAGACACTATTAAATAAATTAAAAATTATACATCCTTGAAATGTGTCTAGAAGATGCTATCAAAAGAGAATATTCAATCTCTTTTAATTTATTATTTTTTCTCACCAGAAGTAAGAAATATCAATATTTTATTAACGTAATATATTTTGTCATTATTATGTAATCATGTTTTTCATATTATGAATTTGATAGAATATTTGTATTTTTATGATTGTGAAATTTATTTAAATACAATTAATTTTAAAGAAAAAATAAAAAAAATATAGAAATATTTTTATAATAGTCTAGAAGACATTGTCAAATAAAGACATTTTAATATTTTTTTTTCACCAGAAGTGAGAAAATGATGAAAAAAAAATGAATATGAAAGAATAAATTTTCTCACTAGAAGTGAGAAAATAATATGAAAAGTGAAAAATAAAATAAATTTCACCAGAAGTGAAAAAAAATTGATATAGATATATTACGGTGTTTGATCCTTTGATATAAATGAGGTCATCACCGGAAGTGGAATAATTTTGTCAATGTCATATTTATAATGTTAAATGATATTTGAGATACATATAAATATTATGACTAATGAAGCGTGTCCTTAAGCCTATTTAGGTTTTGTGTGATTTCTTGAAAGAATTATGAGTTTTCCTGCATTTGTATTTTGATATTGTTCATGATTAAATTGATCGAAATAATCAACTTGTCATGTAATTAAACTCATGTGTTACGTCATTGAATCTTAAAAAGAGTTTAATTTCAAATCCTATTGATATAATTGATATTATTTGTTTTCATAATATCATGCGTCTATTATTTTAATTGATGGAGATATCATTACGTTATAATTCGATTGTGATTTGTACAAAAATACTATAATTTAATGAAATTATGATCAATGTTTATTTCTTTATTTTTTTTCGATACAACATTTATAAGGAGAATAATTTCCCTAATTTTTAGCATTATTTTTTTTCTCCTTAAAGTCAACACAGCAATGACATAAATATATTTTTATTAGATAATTTTTTTTAATAAGTATAATGAGAAAGACTCACTTGTTTTTTTTTTATTATTATAAAGAAAGACATAAACAAGTTATGCTTTTTTTTCTTCAAATGAACATATGATTGTGTTGTATCATTCATTTCCTAAAATGATAAAATAAAGTATTAGTGAGATATGTTTTAAATTTTTTTTGTATGAAGCATTTATTTGTAGATAATATACATGAGATGACATATATAAAAAAAAATTGTGTAAATTTTGATATTAAATTGATGTCTAAAGATACATAATAAGAATGTCATTTTTATATGATTTCTCAATTTCAAAAATATATTATTATATTTTTCATCCATCTATTTTGCTCTAGAAGTAGCAATATTTTTTTCATTAAAAAAAAGGATTAAGAAATATCCTTAGTTGGTTTATTGTTTCTTGAAGACTAAAACAAACTATTGAGATTTTTTTTTATGCAAGAGACCATTTTAACTAACATTTTTTCATTTCCTGAAGTGAATGTTCTAATGTGTTAATTTTTGTCTTCTCATATTCAATAATGTGAGAAATTAATGTTATATGATACTACAAATATAATTGAAGGCTCTAGAATAACTAATATATTATTATTGAAAGAAACGAAGTTGCATATTAAAAATGCATTATATTTTTCTAAGTCTTACAAAAACTTATTGAGTTTCAAGGATATTCGTTTAAATGATTAGTTTCATATTGAAACAAACAATGAAGGAAATGTAGAATATCTTTATATCACGAAACTCCACTTGAATAAAAATGAAGTATTGAAAAAAAATTATTTATTTCCAATGGACCGTATTGCACGTATATTAATACAGTTGAAACACATACTATTGTAAATCAGAAGTTTACAAATCAAAATAAATTTGAGGTTTGGCATGACCGATTGGGTCATCCTAAGGCTATCATGATGCGAAAAATAATTGAAAATTCATGTGGACATTTATTGAAGAGCTGGGAGATTCTTCAAACAAATATTTTCTCATATACTGCTTGTTCCCAAGGGAAGTTAATAATCAGATCATCACTAGCAAAAATTGAGGATGAATCTATCTTACTTTTAGAACGGATACAAGGTGATATTTGTGTACCAATACACCCCCCATGTGGACCATTTAGATATTTTATGATTTTAATTGATGCATCAACAAGATGGTCACATGTTTGTTTATTATCAATTCGCAACCAGGCATTTGCGAAGTTATTAGCTCAACTAATTAGATTAAGAGCTCATTTTCCTGACTATCCAATTAAGAAAATTCGTTTGGATAATGCTGGTAAATTCACATCTCTTTCTTTTAATGAGTTGATTTTCCCAACATTAGGGGGAGAACACAAATAGCTAGAAAAATATATTAGTTGGAATGAATTATCACTATCTCATTTTGATCTTCGTATAAAACAATGTGAACTAGAAGTTCAAAAGATAATTCATTTGCAAAATATAGCCAATCAATTACTAAATGTATTCACAGATCCAAAAAGGGGTGACTAAGTCATATGTAACAACGGTTAATGCTCCAATAAGAGTCGAAGTCCCTGTTGGACAATCTAATACTATAAAAGAGTCACAAATACGCTCGAAGTGTGGTAGACCAATTGGTTCCAAGGATAAGAATCCTCGAATAAAAAAGGGAGCTAAATAGCAAAATGACCAAATTGAGGATGTAAAAACTCAAAAAGATTCCTCTGACATAACTAATATTTTAGTTCCAGAAGAAACGCAGGTACCTAAAATTATTAAAAATGAAGAGATCTTAATAAACTATGTCATGAATGGAATACGATGGAATCGAAACAATGTCAATATTGACGATGTGTTTGCATATAATATAGCGCTAAATGAAATAAATGATATTGAAGATCAAGAACCAAAGTCCATCAACGATTGTCGACAAAGAAATGATTGACCAAAATGAAAAAATGCAATTGAGGCAGAATTAGACTCGCTTGCTAAATGAAAAGTTTTTGGACCAGTACTACATACACCAAAAGGTGTAAAACCAATTGGATACAAATGGGTTTTTGTGCAAAAATGAAATGAAAATGGTGAAATTGTAAGATACAAAGCAAGACTAGTTGCTCAAGGTTTTTCACAAAGACCCGATATTGATTTTGAAGAGACATATTCACCTGTAGCGGATGTAAACACTTTTTGATATTTAATTAGTTTGGTTGTACATGAAAAACTTAATTTACATCTAATGGATGTAGTTACAACATATTTATATGGATCTCTTGATGCTCATATTTATATGAAACTCCCAGAAGGATTTAATTTGCCTAATGATGCAATTTCTAGAGAAGATTATTCGATCAAGTTGAATAAATCCCTGTATGGGCTAAAGCAATCAGGTCGTATATGGTATAATCGACTTAATGAATATTTGTTACAAGAAGGATATAAAAATGATCCAATTTGTCCGTGTATATTTATAAAAAGATCTAAAAATGGATTTTCCATAATTGTAGTTTATGTAGATGACATAAACATTATTGGAACTCTTGAAGAGCTTTCAAAAGTAATAGATTTTTTAAAGAAAGAATTTGAAATGAAGGATCTAGGAAGGACAAAGTTTTGTCTAGGACTGCAAGTTGAATACTTATGAAATGGAATTCTTGTGCATCAAGAAGCTTATATAACAGATGTGCTTAAAAAGTTTTATATGGACAAATCACATCCATTGTGCACTCCCATGGTTGTAAGATCTTTAGATGTTAACAAAGATCCGTTTAGACCCTAAGAAAAGGATGAAGAAATACTTGGTCCCGAAGTACCATATCTCAGTGCTATAGGAGCACTAATGTACCTTGCTAATTATACATGACCTAATATAACATTTGCTGTTAATTTGTTAGCAAGATATAGTTCTTAACCTACACGAAGATATTTGAATAGAGTTAAACAAATCCTTCATTATCTTAGAGGTACAAGGATATGAGGTTATTATATTCAAATGTTCCTAAACAAGAACTAAATGGTTATGCAGATGCAGGTTATTTGTCAGATCCTCATAATAGTAAATCACAAACAAGATATTTGTTTACAAGTGGTGGTACAACCATTTCATGGTGATCTGTAAAAAAAACCATATCAGCCACTTCATCTAATCATGCTAAAATTTTAGCATTACATGAGGCAAGTCGTGAATGTGTTTGGCTAAGATCTGTGATTCAACACATACGGGAAACTTGTGGTTTATCTTCTGGAAAAATGAGATCAACAGTTATATATGAAGATAATGTTGCATGTATTGCACAATTGAAAGATGGATACATAAAGGGAGATAGAACAAAACATATTCTACCAAAATTCTTTTTTACTCATGATTTTCAAAGGAATGGTGATATAAATGTTCAACAAGTTCACTCAAGTGACAACCTAGCAGATCTCTTTACAAAGTCAGTTCCAAGAAAAGTTTTTGAACAGTTGATACACAAGATTGGACTTCGTCATCTTAAAGATTGTATGCATGAGGGGGAGAAATAAATATTTATGAATGATGTACTCTTTTTCCTTCACTAGGTTTTTATCCCACATGGTTTTTCCTAGTAAGGTTTTAACGAGGCACATTCTAAATATTGGACATCCAAGGGGGAGTGTTATGAATAATAATTAGTGGCTTAATTAGTGGATGCCAATATTCATTATCAATCATTACCATTTATATTTCCGTTATGTATTATTCCTTTTATTATGTAATTGTTTAATTACCACATGTACTTATAAATAGGTTAGTCCTCTCCTAAAGATAATACATCAGTTAGATTCTTTTCTCTATCTCATACTATCTTGTTTCTTCTCTCTACTTTTTCTCTCTTTTATAACAACTAGGTATTTCAATTTGATTGCACTTTATTTTTGCATATGTATATAGATTTCCCTCTATATAGTATGACTGTATATAGTTATCATCTAAAAAGGATTGTTGAAATGTTTTGCCTAATCCACGTCAAAATTTCATGTCTGTGATGTAGCCTTCAAATATCAATGATGTCTTTTTTTTTTTTTTTTTTACAATAACATCGATTTAATAATAAATTTCTTCTCATATACTTATGAAAAATAATGAAATAAAATGAAGCAATCTTTTTAAACAAACGAGAAACTTTAAAAATAAATAAATATATAAGTTGAATTTATTTATATATATATATATATACATATATATATATATATGATACAATGATTTTAACTTTTTTAAGTCTTCTATTTAATTAAATTCAATCATAAAATATATATATATATATATATAACTTTATTCATGCTTACTTTTATCATTTGTTTTAAGTATAAAAAAAATGGCATTGATGTCAACCAATCTGAACTTTGCTGGAATAGGGCCAGTTTTAAGAAGTGTTGATTCCCAAATGAGAAATAACATCTATTCATAATATTATTTTTTATTTATCCGAAACTTATAAGCTAAATTAGGAATTGAAAATCAGTAACTTTATGTACTAATCGATTAAATTAAAAGTGAATAATAAACTTATTTGAAAAGCTAACTAATAAATACAGATAAAAATGAAAGAAAAGAAAGTAACTTAGCTTATTTTAAAATTTTAAGTAATTTATTAAAATAAATTAGAAGTTAATAAAATAAGTTTGCATATCAAATAAATTTATTTTGGTCAAATATGTCTATAAGATAATCTAGCCAATTTGTAAGTTCTTTCAATACTTAATCAAACACAATCTTAAAATATTTTTGACCAAAATTAATACAAAATTAAGGCAATATTTAAATTCAATTTTTAATAATGTCACTGTAATTTTTTTTATATAAAAAAATATAAGGACAATTTTATATAAATTGGTGTCAAATTTCTTCTTGTAGCGTTGCTTGCATGCCTCGGCTATCACTAGTGCTCGGTCTCGAATTTCTTCTACAACGTCCAGGTTTGCTCAGAGCTCGGCTTCGTTGTTTGATTCGTCGAAGTGGGCTCGGTGGAATGATGGTTCTCTGATTTCCACCGAGATTATTGCATCGGACCCATAGACCAGCGAAAAGGGGTTTCTTGAGTAGTTGACTGGGGTGTGCGTTGTTGAGATTGGAGAGCCTGAGATTGATGAGATCACCTCTGAAATTTGAAGAGTTTTGATGATAACAAATGTGTACCAAGGACATCAATACCAAAGAAGTCAAAAACAAAGTCAAAGAAAATGCTATGTAATAGGAGTAGTTTATAGTGTATAAAATTGTTTTGATTGAGTTTATCTTTTGTGTGTGCTGTGTGCATGAGCTAAATCTATATCTAATCTGATTAGGGAGTGTGTGATGATGAGTTTAAAAAGTTATTTTGAGACTTAAAACAAAGTTTTGAAAACTAACTCAAAATAATCGATTATCATTAAATATAATTGATTATTCCAGTAACAAGCAAAAAGGGATGCCTTGCTGCAATAATCGATTATTTGTGAAATAATCGATTATCCCAGAAATGACTCTTTGGAATAATTGATTATCCAGCAAAATAATCAATTAAATTGTTCTTGGTTGGTTTCCAGAAAACCTGAAGAACAAAATAATCGATTATTCTTTAAAATAATCGATTATCTGGTTCTGAAACTTTTATAAATAGTTTGAACATTTTGAAACTTCAGAATAGAGTTAGAATTGAGAATCAAAATTAGAAAAACGATTTTGTGAAGTCTTTGTGACAATCTTGGAGAGTTTTCTTTGTGAATCCAAGAAGAAAAATGTTTGTGAAAAGCTTTGAGAAAAGATCATCATCATCACATTCTTGAAAGGAAAGAGATTAAGATTTGCTTCTGAATTCCAGGTGAATTCGTTCCTTAATTCTTTGTGAATACTTGTAAATCTTGAGATGGTTTCTCAAGTGGTAAGGAATTCTTGTAGTGGGTTTCTACAAGGGGTGCTTTCTTGAGGTCAAGAAAGTGGGTATCTTGAACGTAGGAGTATATGCATGTGTGGTATGCTTGTAAACCTTCTTCATTAAGATAGTGGAACAAATCTTGATCAGGTTATGATTGAGGACTGGATGTAGGTCACATTTGGAGTGGATGAACCAGGATAAAAGACTTGTGCAATCTTCTCTTACCCTTATCTTTTACTTTGTGTAATATCTTGATTGTGCATTAAAGAAAATTGTTCTTGATTAACATGTGTGCATGAATAATATTGGTTTGAACTGAATCAAAGCATTACATATTGGTGTTAACTTTGAACCTCATTATTGGTTAATCAAGAAAGCATATAGGATTCATTCTTCAATAACAAGTCTTTAAGAAACTTCATTGAAAATTCAGTTTTAAAAAAGTTTAATTGAAATAAAGATCCTAAATACTCTGAAAATTTTTAAAGTGTCATAGAATCCAATTCACCCCTCTCTTGGATTGTGCCATTCTTTTCTAACATGCATCTATAGGCCCACAACACCTCAGGTAACTGCTCGGCCCATGCTCCCTTTGCCTCTCCTAGCCGCTTCTTCAACTCTGTCAGGATGACTTTGTTGGCGGATTTGGTTTGGCCGTTCTTTTGTGGGTGCTCGACCGAGGTGACCTTGTCTTGTATTCCTAGGCCGGCTAGAAACTCGTTGAGCTTTCGGTCAGTGAATTGAAGGTCGTTATCAGTCACCAGGGTTGATGGGATGCCGAATCGGGTAATAATATTCTTCCAAAGGAATCTTTGGACTTGATGAGCCGAGATGCTTGCTAGGGGCTCGGTTTCAATCCACTTGGTGAAAAGGTCCACAGCGACGATGAGGAACTTGCATTGCCCCTTCGCAATCGGGAAAGGTCCAAGTATGTCGGCCCCCCATGTGGCGAACGACCATGCTAGGGGAATGCAATGCAGTTGCTCGACCAGTTGGTGGATCAAGTTGTCGTGTTTCTGATATGGTTGACACTTCTTCACAAAGGTTGCGTAGTCAGTATTCATGGTCGGCCAATAGTACCCGGCTCGCAAGAGTTTGGCAACGGTCGTTCTCGCTCCGGAGTGCATTCCACAAATACCCTCGTGAACTTCTCGCATCACGTAATCGGCCTCGGTGGGGTCTAGGCACTTGAGTAGTGGAGTAGAGAAGCCACGCCTGTATAACTGACCCACAATGATGACATATCTACTGGCCTGCATTTTTAGCCGTTTGGCCTCGGTCTGGTTGGCGGGCGTGACCCCGTTGGTGATGAATGCCTTGATTTCAGCTCGCCAGTCTGGCGGGTCATTGTGATCGGCGTCGACACTTCCTACCATTTTAGCTTCGACACTAGGGTGGTCAATTTCTTGCTGAATGATGGTTCTCAATTGGCCGGGCTTCTTGGTTGCGGCCAACCTGGCCAACTGATCGACTCGTGTGTTATCCTCGCGTGGAATGTGCTCAACCAACACCTCTTGAAAGTTCGCCTTCAACTTTTGGTAGGCATGGTAGTACTTCATCATGTTGTGGTCTTTTACTTGGAAATTACCACCCACTTGCTCGACCACCACCTTAGAGTCGGTTCGGCACTTGATTCTCGATGCACCCATGTCCTCGGCTAACCTTAATCTGGCCAACAAAGCTTCATATTCAGCTTGATTGTTCGAAGCTTTGAATCGAAAATGCAGAGATTGCTCCAAAGTTATCCCTTTGGGTCCCTCTAGAATTACTCCTGCCCCGCTTCCCTGGTAGTTTAAGGAACCGTCCACGTGGAGGGTCCACCAATGTTCTTCGAAGTGGACGTGCGGGTGGAGTTCATTCATAAAGTCTGCTAGGTATTGGGCTTTGATCGGTCCTCTCGACTTGAAGACGATGTCAAATTGAGAGAGCTTAACCGACCAAGCCATCATTCTCCCGGCGAGTTCAGGCTTGCCTAAGACCTTAGAGATTGGGCAATCGGTACGTACAACTACTTGGTGGCTCTAGAAATAATGCCGTAGGCGTCAGGAAGTGTGTACCAAACTGAGCGCCACTTTTTCTATCAGCTGGTACCGGGTCTCGGAATCTTGTACAAGTTAGCTGAAAAAATATATGGGAATCTGGGTGCCTTCTTTTTCTTGCACCAAAACCGAGTTGATCGCCTCCTCGGATACAACCAAGTATACCAGGAGTGGGCTCGAAGGCTCGGGTCTCGTGAGGATCGGTGGCGTTGCCAAAGTCATCTTCAAGTCTACAAAGCTTCTTCACAAGCCTCGTTCCACAAGAAAGCTGAACTTTTTCATAAGAGCTTCGTCATTGGGTTGATTTTATCAACCAGGCGAGGCAAGAATCTAGATAAGGCGACCAACCTCCCGGATAGTCGTTGCAATTCCTTGAGGTTGCTCGGACTCCTCATGTCTAGGACAACTTGGAATTTGTCTCGGTTTGCTTCTATTCCCCTAGCCGATAACATAAACCCCAGAAATTTGCCTCCTTTGACCTCGAAAGTGCACTTCTCGGGGTTGAGCCTCATGTTATGCTTGCGTACTTCGCCAAAGATTTCAGCTAGGTCTGCTATGTGGTCGGCCAAGGAGTTAGACTTGACCACCATATCATCCACATAAATTTCTATGTTCCGCCCGATCTGCTCCTGGAACACCTTATCCATTAACCTCTGGTAGGTCGCTCCGGCATTCTTCAGTCCGAACGACATGACTTTGTAACAAAAGTTGGCATTCTCGGTGATGAACGCCGTCTTCTCCTCGTCGGCCGGGTGCATCTTTATCTGGTTGTAGCCAGAATAGGCATCGAGGAAGCAGAAGATGGAGTGCCCGGATGCAACATCGACAAGTCGGTCAATGCAGAGGAGTGGATAGGCGTCCTTGGGGCAGGCTTTGTTGAGGTCGGTGTAGTCGGTGCACATTCTCCACTTTTCATTTGACTTTTTGACTAAAACCACGTTGGCTAGCTAGGTTGTGTAGGTGACCTCTCTTATGAATTTGGCTTGTAACATTTTTTTCACCTCGACAGTCGCAACCTTTCTCTTTTCATCCCCCATTTTTCTCTTCTTTTGGGCAACTGGTCGGGCATCTCGGTATTCGGCAAGCCGATGGCAAATGAACTTTGGATCTATTCTTGGCATGTTTGACGCTGTCCATGCGAATAGGTCTTTGTTGTCTCGAACCGCTCGTTTCACCTGGTTTGAATCGGCTTCACTTAGTTGGGATCCCATGTGTGTGACCTGTTCGGGTGCTCGGCCAAGTTGGAAAGGAATGAGATCCTCAGCTGGCTTAATTCGTTCTTCTTCGCCTAACCGAGGGTCGAGGTCAATGCCCTCCGTCATTTCCTGCCTGACCACATTCACACCTTTCATCGTCGGGGGATCGGCAATGGGCCGTACCTTCAGGCTAGAAAGGTAGCACTCTCTTGCTGTCTTCTAGTCAGCATGAATGGTTATCACCTGCCCATCTTTCGACGGGAACTTCATGCATAGGTGGGGGTTGAGACAATGGCTCCCAGTACATTGATAGAAGGTCGGCCTAGTAGGATGTTGTACGACGTGTTTGCATGCACCACAATGTAACGAATTTTGATCTCGTGGGAAGACCTTTGGTCGAAGCTGAAGCGAGTGTATAGATCAATGCACCCTATCGTCATCACTCTTTCACCTGAAAATCCTACCAGTGGTTCATGATACGGTTCTAGGCTCTCCTCTAGGATCCCAAGCTGTATAAAGGTGTTCCAATACAAGATGTCGGCAGAGCTCCCCTAGTCGACCAAGGTTTTCTCCACAATGCAGTTGTGCATTTCAATCGAAATCACCATGGGGTCGTCCTAGACGGGATCGACTCCTTGGAAATCTCGGTGGGAAAAAGTGATTGGTGGCATCTTTGGTGTCTTTGGCTGATTCACGCTATTTACTGATCGAACAGCTCGGAGGTGTCTCTTCTGTGCTGAAGAGGTGGAACCTCCCTCGACGAATCCTCCGGCTATGGTGTTTATCACTTTTCTTGGTCAGTCATGGTCTTCCCTGGGATGCCATGAGTGATCCCTCCTCTCGGCCAAACGGGATCGGTGGCGTCGGTCTCTCGGCTGTGGGGCCTCGCGAGAGTGATGGTCTCTCCCTCTTGCCTAGTGGTCTTGGAGGGTGACAAAACTCCTGAGGTGACCTTGCTTGATGAGGTCCTCAAGTTTATCTTTCAGTGCCAAGCATTCTTCGGTCGAGTGCCCCCTGTTTCGGTGGAATCGACACGTTTTGGCTTTGTTTGCTCTAGGGGGAGTGTTCGCCCTTTTCGGCATTGCAAGGATCTCCAAGGCGAGGGCCTGCTCCATTACTTTGGCTCTACTTGCGTTGAGGGGGGTATACGCTGTGTAGCGTGGTCCCCTCGGAGGACGAGTATTTGAGGGCTCGACATTCGTCTTCCTTGTCGGATCTCGGTTGGATTCTTTTCGGCTATAACCCTCCATTTGCATCTTGGTGTCGGAGATTGTTCAATCACCGGGCGGTTTCTTACACAAGCTGTTCACGAAAGGCCCCAGCCTCAAGGCGGTGTGCTCAACCGGTCCAGTGCCACGGCCGGGTTGAGATCGTTGATTTCCATGGCAATCTTGTTGAATCAGTCCATGAAGCTTTTCAAGCTTTCTTTTTTCTCGGCGAACCCCCGCTAGTGCTAATGAGGTCGTCTTGTACGGTTTTCTCATCGCGAACTATAACGTAAATTGGGATGATAACTCATTAAACGACTCGATGGAAGAGCTCGGTAATCGCGTGAACCAACTCAGAGCCCTCCCTTTCAACAATGTGGGGAATATCCGACACAAGGCTGAGTCATCTTGAGTAGAGAGGGTGGCTTGTATCAGGAAAACATTCAAGTGCTCCTCGGGGTCAGTGGACCCATCGTACTTCTCGATTCGAAGGCTCTTCCAATGGTCTAACAGGGTTGCCTCCATGATCCTTCAGGAGAAAGGGTGTCTCAGCGAGTGAGTGGTGGTGTCGTCCTTGACGCCAATCAAAGAGGTAACTGGTGTTTGGGTGAGCTGGTCGGCTGGGGGGTGATAGGATGACTCCTCTTGGAGCGTCAGGGTGGACGGTACATAAGTTTGGTTCAGACTTCGGAGCTCAACATTTTGCCGACGCAGTTCAGCCAACTCCCTAGCATCAACTTCTCTCTGTCTATGTATGACTGCCATTTCCTCGCGCAATGCGTGTAATTCATCGTGGAGGTCGGGCTGGGCCCCGTCAACGTTCGGCCGAACCTCTTATATTACGGGCTCCGGTTGTGTCTGAGGCATTCCGTATGATATCGTTCTTGGCCGGTCATGACAGGGTTATTCTCGGGGTTAGGGATCGGTTGAGTTGATGTTGATGGTCCTTTGCGTGTTACTACCATGTTTCGGTCTCAGTCGTAGAGTTTTAAGGGGCTGAAAATGTCTCTTCAGCCCCATGGTGGGCGCCAAATGGTCCTGTATTAGGATACACACTTTACTTGTCCTTGCTGTTGCGGGTTGGGTCTTGGGTCTAGGTCTTCTCGTTCCTCTCCGAGTAGTCTGAAGTGAGGGGGGGGGGCCTGCAAAGACACTCCAACGCTCAAGTAAGTGCTCGGCGTAATAAATGCGGTAGTTGAAAGTTGGTTACGTACCTCGTTGGGGGTCTATTTATAGTGTTTCTTATTGGGCCGTAACTAGGGACTAGGCCCCGGGAAATTAGGAGACTAATCCGGCACATTACATAAATTAATCCTTCTTTAATTGTCCTTCCATAAATCTGTAGCTTGGCCGAGCACACCGACACGTTTGATAGGTGATCGGTGTGGTCGGCGAGGGTAATTGGGTCGGTCAGTTCGGATGCTCGGGTATTCAGCCTGGTTGGCTACCATTCGGTATAACTACTATTTTCATTAAAATATTTTTAAAAAATTTAACACTGTTGCTTGTTTAATATTCCTTTTTTGTTTCTTGCTTAACACTGACACAATCCTAGTTGATCTAATTTCCCTAAATAAATATCTATTCCTCCAATGCCAGTTCATTGACAGACTTATGATGATTCACTCTCGCCAACCTCGCTTCACGCGGCACAATATCTCATTGTCTCTATCCACTACGAAGGCTGCCAAAGGAAAGTCAAGCAAACACTCTACAACAATTCAATGCACCCAAGAATACCGTTTTTGTTGAGATTCTTGAATGTGTATTTTATTCTTTTCTTTGGTCTATTGTAGTTGGTGCATCATATTTAGAATTTTTTTTTTCATTGTTGGAGTCCTTCTCTGAATTGAACTCGATTCTTGTTTCTATTTTTTTTTCTTTCTGATTCTTGTTTTCTTTTGTTTGGAGTGCAATGAGACTGGAGTCCTTCGTTGTCCTTATGAATGTTTTTATTCCTCTGTCTGAGTCTTGATTCTTTCTTGAACCTGTGTTTTCTTGTTTTCAAGACCAAGTGTTTTTTCTTTTTCTATTGATTTTGATTGCATGCAAGAACAAGAATGATGACAAAGGATACAAATCGGCTGTATGCAAATTTCAATGATCACGTGTCCGTGGTATTTCAGGTGTTGGGACTTGGAGGTGCTGGGCTAGGCTGGTGTGTGATCTTACACCTTGACAAGAATTAGAATAAGTTTTTCTTTTTTCTCTGGTGAATTTAAGAATTGTTTTCTGTCACGTAGTAAGTGAGTAATTTGAAATTAAACTTTTGAAGATTTTTTTGACTACTGCTTTATTCAAAATTTAATTTGCAAAGCTTATGTTATTTAAAAGTTACTTAATTATATGGGTATTGTTAACATTTGTTTTCTAAAGGTTTAATTTAAGAGAAATTCTACGGTACCCACTATAATTGTGGGGTACTGGAACAATCATTTTATTTATTTATTTTTATTTATTGTAATTACTTGTTTTTTTTTTATTTAATATTTTAATTATTTATCTATATAAAATTTTCTATATCTTTATATTATTTTTATATTTTTTAATTTATATCTTAATGTAGCATCTATTATAATTAAAAAGTTTAATATTAATATTTTGTTAATATGTTTTAGTTTTTCTTTGGTGATATATATTTTTTTTAAATTTATAGTATAAATTATTTTTTCAATTGTATTATTTATTTTTATTTTATTTTAATGTTTTTATAATATTATCATAATTTTGTTTTTAATTTTTTAATTTTGTCATATATAAACAAAATTTGTTATGAAAATTGATCTTTTGATTATTATTTTTAATTAGTCTTTTTGATTGATTCATTTTATACAAATTTTTAATCTAAAATTTATGTTGTTTTGAATTTATTTTTTAAAATTTATTTATTCACATAATTTAATATACCAAAACCCTTCAGTTTTCATGGGTACCATAGCAGTTCCCTTAATTTAATCTATTCTTGTACTACTTTTTCTATAAAATGACCAGAGTCTTCATTTGTAGAGGATGATCTCTGACCTTGAGGTGAATTATCATATATATGACTAATTACTTGCCCCTTTCCGATATTTTTTGGCCATAGTCTCCAGTTTTGGTCTAAAACAATCAAAGTTGTTGTAGTTACTTGGCTTGGGGGTAGCCTAATGATACAGAAAGCAATGAGAGGCTTGTATAGTATAGTGTATGTTTTCCCATAAACTGTGTTGAGGTATGTTTGGGAGCCTTGATGTGCCTGACCTAACTTTCAATGAATAAAATTTGATCTTGAAGTTCATCGCATGTCTTAGAAGTCGGCTTTTCGACTTTCTGAATATTTTGTAACTACAATGCAATGTTTTATAGGTTGATACAACCATTGTAGAAGCTTGTAGAAAGTTGCGAAACTGCTTTATTTGCAGTTTACTAGGTATATTGTGTTTTTAAATGGGGTCATGATTTCCGTCCAGACTTCAGGTCTGTCTTTTATCCTTTGTTTTTCCTTATTGTTTATGGCTT